GTACCGCCACCAGTCCCCGCACGTCACATCAGCTGGATGGTACTGGGTCTGTAACTCCTGTTATGCCCCTTGACGTTCTTACTGAGTTAAAGCAACACATTAGTCTCTTCACTGAAGATGCTTCTTACATTTAAATCCATCCCAGAAAGGCAAATTGAATCCGGAGACCCTGGCCTGGCAATAGAGCTTATATTGCAGCAAATATCATACAGTATTATTTTTATTAAATGTGTCACCTTTTAAACCTATTTTTTATCCTTAGTACTGCTGCTGCACCCACTTCTACATTCAAAATGCTCCTAATACTTGGATATATAAATACATATAATTCCTTGGATGTGTGGACCTGTTTGGGCGTCTAGAAAGAGCCGTCTATAGCTCGCTGTGATTGCTGATCAGAAGAGTGTAACACCCTCCATGTCTTACACCCGTTCTATGTCTGATTGTCTGATTAACAATGGATTGCAATGCATGATGGGTCCTGTAGAGCGACACCCACCTGGGCTGGGGAGTAGAGTTTGCGTGGGTGGTGCGCGTCGTTGGGGCCTCGCTGGGGGTCACTGGCACCAGGGTTGCCACTGGAGCTGGTGACGCCACACTGCCGCTCACCTCCCTCAACCCCCGGCCGGTCACCGCCTCCTACGGCTCCGCCCGCGCCTCCAGCCAGACCTCCCATGCAACAGAGGGCGCCTTGGGCCAGCTCCAGCTCAATCTCAGCATCCATCTCGGCGTCCTCCTGCGCCTCCTTGTTGGAGTCGTCCAGGTGCTTCATGAGCACGGCCACCACCACGTTGATGAGCACAAACTGTGCCGTCAGCACAAAGCTCACGAAGTACAGCGGCGAGATGAACTGCAGGCTGCTGTTGCAGGCAGACTCGCCTGCCTGGCACTCGCGCAGTGTGTCCTGTAGGAGGCGCACAAGAGCATCATTAGATATACCAGATATATGGATATTTTACAAGAACATTACAGATATTCAGGTCACCCATCTTGATGATTTACATTTAAGATAAATAATCAATCAAATATCACTGCATCCTGTCGGGTCTGTTCCTCTTTGAGGGCTGAAATGCCTCCAAGTATTGCGTGAAATGCATCTTCATGTGTCTAGCTGCTCATATAGTGGTGAATTGGATGGTACCTTCAACTCTCAGTCATGAAAAAGAAAAGACCCTACATCCGATTAAGGCCGAAACTAATAAGTAATGAACAAGCTTGTATTTCCCAAGTCTTTTCAAATGCTCACCACTATTACTGCTCAGATTCTATCAGAATTATTCAGGATGTGACGGCGAAGGCCTCGGTTCGCCCGGCCTGACCCCGTCGCACTGATCAGAGCGGCTTCTCTGCTCTGAAATCACACTTTGAGAAAGGAGCCCACTATCTTGGATTAACTATTAACAGAATAAAGAAGGAATGAGTGACGCAGCTGTTAACAGGATAAAATCCTGTTTGTGATGGCAGACTGTCTAGTTCTTTCATCAGGAAAGTGCCTCAGAAATCAGTGTGTGTGACAGCCAAATGTCGTCCATCTTCCGTAACCACCTACCCAGAGCAGGGTCACACCGAGCCCAGCAGGGCATATGGCAGGAGGCATGGGATGCCAGCCCATCGCAGAAGACATGCACTAATTCACACTAATTCATGCACTAATTCTTATGTAACCAAATGTCTTTAGACTGTAGAACCAAACCTGCCAACTCCACACAATGCAGGGGTCGGGATCCAATCCCCTACCTGGAGTTTGAGGACACAGTGCTCCCAACTCAGCCACCGTACAGCTGGAATAGTGCAAGTCATTTTCCACTGAACAATTCTTAACTCCCGTATTTGTTATTCTTGTAGATGAATTTTAACTTCAGTGTACATCACAGAATTCCCCGCTCTCTCCCCGCCTGGTGTAACTGTACAAACTAACCTGCCAGCTGTGCACTTGAACACTATTGAAGGACTTGAGCTCAGTTTACACCTTTTTTCCCATTCCGGGGGGGGGGGGGGGGGCAGCCAGTCGACCTTGAGCACCCACAGGTCTTCTCCCTACTTGCGAGTTTTTGGTCCCTCTCCTCCATTATCTTCTAGCACTCTTTCTTTCCGATAAATCATATAATACTGGACCATGCACATCTCTGTCAAGTACCTCGGGATGACGCCGTTATGAAAGGCGCTATATAAAAGTAAGTGTGACAGAGACACCTTAACGGGCCAGGGGCAGAGAGGAGTGGCAGCGTGCGTGACTCGCAGCCGCCCTGGGTCCTGCGGGGCTTGTTTAGGTTCCTTAATCGGTGGCACATTAGTCTGCCGTTAATGAGTCCTCACTGGAACGTCAGCCTGGGGGCAGCAATGGGCCGCACCAGCTGCAAGTCGGCGCAAGAAGGGAATAAGGAGGCAACAATAAATGCCGCCGGCTTTATTTTGTGTCACAATACATCCATTTATGTTGCGGCACTGACTATAGATTGCTAAGCCATGATTGTGCCGTAGGGCTGTGAGTTGAATGAGATTTGTGTTTATCTCCCTGTTTTGGTGTATCAGTCGATGGCCAGACCCAGCCCAGACCCGCTAAACCCTGGAAAGGAAAACGCCGTTCCCATTCTCCATTACACGCTACTGTTCACAGGATAACGTATTAAGCTTCTTTTGAAAAAAAAAAATCAATAGTGAAATTTGCCCTGTATTGTCCCTCTAAAATAGGCATTTGTCCCCCTTTGTCTCCCTAAAACAAGAATTTGTCCCCAGTTTTTAAGATTGACTCTTATTGTCATGTGCTGCCCACCATTCGAGTGAAAGGTCTGCCAGCTGTCCTGGGGACAGAAGTGAGTAAGGCATTACCCTGGACCATAATATCAGCAGGCCCATCTTCATTTGCATCCTGTCGTACAGAAATCGATGAGTGAATGAGAGACGACTCCAGTGAGGAGGCAGAAATGGAGGGTCTCCTGTCTGGAATTGAAACTTTCACGAGCAGTTGATTGCCAACTCCTACCAGCCTACCCACAATGCCTTGTGGCCATACCTTCATGATACCGTTCCAGTTGTCTCCCGTGGACACCTGGAAGAGGGTGAGGAATGCCATGCCGAAGTTCTCGAAAGTGGCGTGACGACTCATGCCCTCGCAGGGGTAGTCCACGTTACAGACTGGCGGGCAGAGCGCAGACAGACATATTAGCCATGGAGAAAGATACAGGCAGAAGAAATGACATGGACGGTCTTAGGCAAAATGACATGGACAAGTCTCCGGCAAAGAAAATGATGTTTAATTGATCTTTGTGTCAGTGTAAACCTATGATATGATGTTTGTCAAAGTGTCTCAGCTTAGCCATTTCCAAACCTCCTATAAAGTCACCCCAGCATTTGCAGAAAACATCTAATACACCGACCTGGTTGCTGGCTTGACCACTAGCATACCATATTTAGCTAATCAATACCTCACCAAGTTATTTAACTAATTAAATTCATGAATTGGGCTGGTGGTGAAATTTAGCAAATACACAGAATGTCTGGGGCGCCCCTGAGGAGAGGTTTGGGTACTGAAGCAGTGCTCATCTAGCCATCCAACTGGATATCAGTAACTTTTTTTGAAAATGTAAAAAATTCCTATTAGTTTTCACTGTGTTATTCTTAATTTGCATATGTTCTAATGTGAAATTGTGTTTTTTGTCCTAAGCAAATATACACTTACTATCCAGATAAATAGCTTCAAACATTTTCACAATACACAAACATTTGTACAATACAGTAGATCAGGAAATAGTAGTTACAGTATAAAGTAAAAATATTTTAAATAATATGTTTTAGTAATTTTAGGATTTTTGTAGCTTTGTACAGATCTTTCGACATGTTAAAAGCTGCTTAGGGGTAATCCAATCTGTGGTCACTTTACCAAGCACACCTACTAGTTAACAGAAACAACCTGGTCTTCCACACAGCGATATATATATACACACACACACAACCACACACACACACATGCACGCACATGTCGGGTAAACATATCTTTATGAGGACCGCTCATTCATTTCTATGGGAAAAATGTTAACCCCTAACTATAACAACCTTAACCCCGACCCAGCCCTAACCATAACCATAAGTGACCAAGCAAAATACAAGATTTTTTGCATTTTTAGTTTTTTCATTGCAGTCACAGATTTTTATTAAATTGAGTTTTTGAAACTGGTCCCCATAAGGAAGAAAATGAGTATTCATTACGTTGTGGGGACATTGTGTCCCCATAAGGTAAGGTTTACCGGCTCACATGCACGCACACATATATACAGCAAGGCTCAATATCTATACAACTAAGCTTTAGAACCATGATCTAAGACCTTTTAAATGTGATGTGTTTGTTATTGCCGGCTTCTCAGAAACAGCCAATCTCTTGGAATTTTCTCAGACTACAGTGTCTAGAATTTACAGAGGATGGTGTGATAAAAAACAAAACAAAAACATCCAGTCAGGGGCACTTATGAGGGTGAAAACACCTTGTTAATGAGAAAGGTCAGAGGAAAACGGTCAGACTTGTTAAATCTAAGAGGAAGGTCACAAGTGCAGAAACAGCTGGCGTGCAGAAAGGCTTCTCTCAATGCACCTTTGAAGTGGTTCTGGAGAATAAAGTAGGTCCTACTAGGTGTCACGTGGGGGAACGTAATAAAGTGAACACAGAGTGTAAGTGCTCAGCGTGCAAAAGCAGTGTCACTAGCAGCGGGCTTTTTGGTACGCATGAACTGGGCCTGTGTTCTGCGTGATGCGAGCGCACTTCACATTCTCACCCAGCTCTCCAAACAGCTCCACCCCGAGGGCAGCATAGATGAAGAAGAGCAGCATGAAGAGAAGTCCCAGGTTCCCCACCTGAAATGAGTGCAGCCAATCAGTGCGCGTCACATTGAAAAGTGGGCGTATTCATACAGCAGGACACAACAAATCAGCAGCCACCTTACTGAACATAAGCAATGGGAACCTCACACTGAACAAGGGCTTTTACTTCAACTTACAAGACACAGGTATCCCATTATGAACTGAATTCTTGCCTTTTCCGCAATGTCAACAGCAAAGGCAGCAGAGACAAAATGTTGCATTATATGTCGAGGTTGCATGTGTTTCATAACAGAGTGGATCCCCTGACTGAACCAGCATGCCCCCCAGCACGCTGCGTTCTGTACAGGCTGTTCCGGCATACGGTTGCCTGGATACCTGAGCCATCCGAAGTACCACTTATAAACCTGCCGCACGTGTTAATGACGAGGCATTAGACGATCGTGGGCTTCAGAGGTACATTTGTACACATTTATACTGCTTGACATTGAGGTGTAAGGTAGTCTATAGGTGTATGGTTCTTAGGCAGAAAAAGCTTTAGGTTCATGGTATTTAGGAGGGGTACTTCATCTATATTCATTAATCCATCTTCCTAAACTGCTTATCCTGCTCAGTCACATTAAGCCTGGATCCCATCCCAGGAATTCCAGGGGACAAGACAGGAGACACCCTGGAGAGGATATCAGTGTTTACTATATATTATTAAGGTTAACAGGATGTGATTATTACATCGACAAAGAAATGTATCATGGGACTGAGCTCTACGAATTTACCATTGTACACATTTTAGTCAAGCTAATTGCATCAACATCCAGACATTTACAGAGGCTGAGGTGAAACACCAGGGAATTAGGGGCAGATCTTGGAGATGATGTGGGAGATGACCTGGGAGATGCTGTGGGAGATGATGTTGGAGATGATGTGGGAGATGATGTTGGAGATGATGTGGGAGATGACCTGTGAGATGCTGTGGGAGATGATGTGGGAGATGATGTTGGAGATGATGTGGGAGATGATTAGGTCCCCTTACTGGTGAAACGAAACACCCTCTCGGGCAGCCAAAAGCCTCTTCAGCCTATTTGGATTTCGGAGGTCCACTCGCCACATGCCCATGTTTTCCAAATAGCAGTTAATTGCATGTGGAGGAGCTCGGCTGTCGCCGTGACACCCTGCCCGCGGCTGTCAGGGATGGGGGGCCCGAGGCACCACGCTCGCCTGTCACGCTCACAGACACGCTTTTTGTTTTCCCCCGGCAGCAGACAGAGTTTGTCGGCTGAGCAGAGAAAGATGTGGATGCCCGGTGTTTATGCTTTACATGCTCCCTGCCACAACAACGATAAAAATATCAGGGGAAGGTACAGCACTGGGGTCCCTTTTGGGAGAGAGCCTGTCACCACTTGCCACAGACAGACCTCTTCTTTCACTTTCTGCTCCATTTTTTTGGTGCGGGGGGTAACTGACCTTTCACTGGGAGTTTCACTGGCTGAACTTTATCAAACTTGGGTCTCGCATCTCTAATTGACAATTGACCCCCCCCCCCACACACACACACAGACACACACACACACACGTGTGCACAGATGGCAACGCCTCACAGCTACATGGTAGGCAAACTTTACCGGTTCCCTAAATACGAGCAGATGTTCGGAGCTAAAGGCGAATTTCCCGAAGGGGGCGTTTTTGCAAACGGACGGTGGGTTCGAGGCTGAGCCCATGCCGCATGCCGCATGGTGGTGCCGCATCTGTCACCGTATCCCTGAGCAGCCTGCAGACTTCAGGCCAAGTACCGGGCGAGAGCCAGCACTTAAAGTGTCACATCTGTCCCTTACAGCAAGCTCGTGGAGCAGACCGGGGTGAGACACAACCCAAAGCAGAAAACCACATAAGAAAAGACTCCCCTCTGAAGACATCTTCACCCAAAGCGAGGATGTGCAATTGAAGATATCAGCCAACTGGAGCCAAGCACCATCACTGTGACTGGGGAAGAAACGGGCAGCTGATTCACAACAACGGCTTGGGTGAAAGACCTGGAAATGCTGCAAAATACAACGGTTTGTATTTCATGATGGAGGGGCCTCTGTTTCTTGATTTCACAGAATATGCCAAAAATATTTACAGCCATTTTCCAGCAGTGCTGGCAGCCAAAAGCTGTGTTTGTTTTGGAGCAGCATTTTCTGACCAATACCAAGGTCTTAGGGCATCATCAGCAGGTCAGGGAGACCTTATGCATGGTTCTGTAGCTGTGCCAATGCGATTTCTCTAAATACTTAAAGCAGAGCCATATAAATAATAGCCCAGATATCCTAAAAACAAATCTCAATACACTGAGCGGTACGTTGAAAGAGGGACAATGCATCCGAACACCCAAGAACCATACGTCAGAATCAGTGATATGAAATCAATGTGAGCTGTTTATGAGGCTGCACGGTCGATGGGAAAGCCTCTTCTGCTATTCGCACGCACATGTTTTCGTTGCGACTGCTGTTTGGCAGGAAATTCGTGGGTTTGAGAGTAGTGCGCACGAAAAAGCTGCATTTTCTGTGGATCTGAGGGGTGTTGACAGTGGAAATAAAATGCTTTGGTAAAACTCGGACAGATTACTGTGAAATCACCTTGAAGTAAAATGTAGATTATTTGTAAGACAGCAGCTTTTAAATATGTCTAAATAGAATGCACTTGGAAATGTGGCGGGATGATCTTGTTTGATTTCTTGTCACCTGCACGAATGGATTTACCACTGACCGTCATTTCTTGTTTCAGGTAGATATAGGAGTTTGTGTGTTATGCTGTGTTTTTGTTTTTTTTGACGTTGCTTCACGATTCGTTCTTCTCCATTGTTGTAGTGCTGGTACTGTATGAGTGATGCTGTCTGTCCGAGATTCTGCTTTTACCCGAAGGCAGTCCCTCCCCAGCAGAATAGTACAGGGAGGGGGGCAATGGAGTGGACCACAGTACTAATCTGATTCCAGTGCTCAGCATAATGACACAGATGGAGTGTGGACGGCACAGGTCCCCAGGCAATGTGCTGCTTGAGTGTTCCGTGACCTCAGTGCCCCGAGAGTCAAGAGATGCAGACTGTCCCCTTGGCAAATGTGGCATGTTGACAGAGATACCCTGAGGAACCTTGTTGATGGATACCTACATTTGTTATTGACCCATCACTCTCAGTGACAAAACGCTCAAAAAACAAACTACTGCATAAAAAGGGAACTAGTACACAGGAAAAACAACAGCCAGACTACTGTACAATCTGGAAGTAAATAGGTTAATCTAGGACAGTAAATAGATTAATCTAGGACAGTGTTTGCCAATGCATCAACCGCAAGCTACTAGTAGCCATCAGAAAGCCAATGAGTAGCTCTCATTAGAACTTAGATCAATTTTAGGGTTGCAACTACTGGTGGTGGGGGGGTCACTGTTGTTGCATTACAGGTTTTTGCTCCTGAGCAAAAATGAGGACTGTCAAGGGGTCCCCAGGCACTGGGTCATAGAACACTGATGTATCAAATATGTAGCTCCACAGATCATTCTGTAAATAAGGTTGGAGGCCCCTAAAGTACATGATGGAACAAAACCTCAGATAATCTGTTACTGACCCCTGAAGAAAACATTGAACATTGAAAATACAACTATAATATTATTTTTAATTTGAGCACATGGATGTCTTGCTGTCTGTTATTGTGTTTTCCCAGCTGAGAAGCATGGAAGTAAAAGGTGAAACACAATTCTGGACCTCTGTGGACATTCTGACAGTGGTTAAAGCTGTCTTTGAAGTCCAAAATGACAGGAGAGTGCAGGAAGCTTCCATCCCTACACATGACAAACAGTGGTGACTTTCTTCATCACCCTCCCGCTTAATCACTTCCCAAAAGCTCCTGAGATACACACAAGGCCTGAGAAGCCTGAGGCTGAGCCGATTGCAGAACGCCGTGAAACATTCTCTGAAAAAAACGGGAAGATGTTCTTTGTATTCTTACAAAAATGCATGAATATATTTTTACCTGTGAAGTATTGGAAGTACATCAACACTTTTTAAAGCTTTAAATAGTTTTTAGCCAATGGTTATATACACTGCATACTTGTATATCCATCCATCCATCCATCCATCTATCCATCCATCCATCCATCCATCTGTCTGTCCATCCATCCGTCCATAGCTGCTTCTCCAATACAGATTCATGGTCAGTCTGGAGCATACCGCAGAAAGCACCTCTCACTCTGACTAGTGAGGCTTCAAGCAACATGGATCATCAGATTGCCATCTCATTCAGAACACAGCAACACAACCAGATAGGTATTTCATTAAGCATAAAACAATGGCATGAGCACTCAAGGTTGCCAAGGAAACCACATCCAGTTCAAACCCAGCCCACTGGGCCCAGAACCAACATATTCAGGCTACACTTCAGACCTGAACTTCTCTAGGTATTTAATCTGTGCTACAGTAACAAATCCTGGAATATCAGATTCAGCTTACAAATTTGAAACCAATCCATCCATCCATCCATCCAATAAACACTTATCCCGATCAGGGTTGCCAGGGGACCCTAAGCTTATCCTAAGCAGCATCTAACACAAGGCAGGACTCATGTTTTATTTGTTCATATCATTCAACACATTTAATGTTTTCTTCTTATTTTTTTTAAATTTGCCATATTTTGTTTTATTTATATTTTGCTGCAAAGGTTTTGCTGTATCTACTGAACACCTGCTACTGTCAAGGGACTTTGTTTCATGCAACGACTCATAACTCACATCAGATAAGAACATCTGCCACATTCACCTCTATAAATGCAATCGCTTGTTTACAGTATGGCACGTTTGCATACTTCAAGCACAGCGCTACAACACGATGACTGTGCATGCTGCGCATCTCGCCTTGGACCTCTCTGTGTTCTGGGCAGAGCGAGGGTAGGCCAGGCGAGGTCTCGGTCGGGGATGCCCCCTGCTGTCACAGCGATTTGCTGTCACATGACACCCAATGGCCATTTGCTAAAAAGCTGTGAAGATGCAAGGAGACGCCTGGAGATTTGGCACAAATAAGGGGGCACTTCTTCGGTCCACGTTTTTAAAGATTTAGAATTAAGTCACGACAGCTTTGTGTTTTGTTTTGGGCTAGAGAAGAAAAATGGTTGTTTTCCGTGCAATGCATCTATATCAAAAAATACATTTTTAATACAAAAAAAAAATAAAAATTAACAGGTGAGCTTGAGGCTGGACCAGAATGCTATGTCAAGCTTAGCTGAGAAGATGAGGCAAGTATGCAGGTTTGTGTGTGTGTGTGTGTGTGTGTGTGTGTGTGTGTGTGTAGTACCTGCGGCAGGGCTTGTACTACAGTATCCAAGAGGGCTCGCATTCCTGTGGCCATTTTCAACAGCTTCAGCACTGTAGAGGAGGCAGAGGAAGAGCGGAGGGTGAATTTAGGAAAGGTAACCTGAGGAAGATGCGAAGAGGCAAAGCACAGCAAATTAAAATCTTTCTAGGAAATTCCAGTGGTCTGATTCTTAGAAAATGTAATTTTAGGAACCACAAAGGATTAGAGGTCGCTGCTCACATCACCAACCACTGGCTTGTTCATAACAGGCAGGTAGAGTCTGGAGATCAGAGAAGCATCTAAGAAGTTCTGCACATTCACATGCAACACGGAGACCTCCTACTCCGACTCAGCATTACAATGCAATGCCTTTGATTTCACAGCCATCTATTGTGATGTATGTCAGCGTTACCTGATCTGCCTGCCTGCTGATGAGTCACGAGTCAAAGCACGAGTCAAAGCAGACGGGCACAGTGCAGCGGCCCTGCCGAGAGGGGTATGACAGCTGAAAGTTCTGCTGCTGGTTCTGTGCAGAAGGGACTCACCACGCGCGATCCGCAGCACCCTCATGATGCGTATGATGGTGGGGTTGATAGGCAGTGAGGCGTTAATCTCGATCTCCTCCAGTGTGATGCCCATCACTGACAGCAGCACAATGGCCAGGTCCAGCTGGTTCCACCTGTGGGGGGGGGGGGGGGGGTCACAGGTGATGCCTCAGTTCCCATGGTTGACTCCCTTGGCATTCCACAACTTTATGATGCTCTAACAATGATCATCGGCGAGGTGGCTGAGCTCATGCTGGATGGAATTAGCTTCCGCCAGGCATTTCAGGGGCGGCAGTGACTGAAACTTGGTGGTGATGCTCCTGGAAGCCGAGTGGAGCAGGACCGCCCATGAGCAAGACCGCCCGTGAACAAGACCGCCCATGAGCAGGACCGCCCGTGAACAAGACCGCCCATGAACAGGACCGCCCGTGAGCAAGACCGCCAGTGAACAGGCCCGCCCGTGAACAAGACCGCCCGTGAGCAAGACCGCCCATGAACAGGACTGCCCGTGAGCAGGACCGCCCATGGCATCCAGCAGACTGGAGACGCCCCGAGATGCATACCGCTGACGCAGCTGTGCTCCCTACCTCCCCCGGGACGTCACCTGTCGCAGGGTTCTGCTCTTTGATCTGAGCGAACATCTGTGCGCCTGTTTTTCATTACACACAACCCCCCCGCCCCCCCCAAACCCCCCACCTGCAATTTCCATAGGAGGTGTTGTTTATTAATTATTAATTTATTTGGAATGCTGCATCTAGCAAATTAACCTATTTATAAAGCAAGGTGTCATTTATTCAGCTAGACACCGAGATTCAGGTTGAGTAGCATTTCTGAATAAGAAGTAAACGCGCTGAATGCAGTCTGCGACATCCTGACCTTATGTCTAGTTCCTTAACCGTTTCCCCTTGATCTGCGGTTCGCCTACATGCAACGTGCTGATGTTTGAAACGCAAAGCCAGGGCGCCTCTATAAATCCACCTGATCCAGGTCCCATCTCTCCGATGGCCTGTATTACATTTACTGCCGGCCTCCTTCTTGTCCTACTTCCTGTTTACACGAGCCCCTGGTGACGGTAACTAATGACACGGCCATGAACATCCCCGCAGCCCCCACCTATCTTGAAGGTCTGAGTTAATCCCCCTGGCTGGAGAACGGTGATGGAGAACGGCAGCGCTGTGTTCACAGAAGATATGACCAGACTCCATACATTATACTTTTCCATGTGGCGCATTTAAAGCAACTTAAGATTTTAATGGATGGTAAAGAGGATTAAATGTAGCTAATTAATGGATCATGGTAAAATACATAGAGTGGAAAAAATATGGCCCCAGGGTTATGAAGAGCGGAGAGCCCATACTAGGAAGCACTCAGATACAACACACAGAACACATGCAACACGGGGAGAGCATGTACACAAACAAGCAACACACACACACACACACACACACACCCCAGATAACTTAAAGGAACCTGCACATGAAGCTGAACCACCAGAAATATCTCATTAATGTTGCTGGTCCACCAGCACTGAAATACAACATATGCTGGTATTTGCAAAATGCATTATGCTGGTCATGCTGGTAACCATCTATTCTGGTCTATGCTGGTTGTTTCAGCAGGACACACACACACACACACACACGCACAGCGGGGAAAAGATTCAAACACCCAACTGTGGATGCGCGATGCAATTGTCCACTGAGTCACCACAGCACCATATGATGGTACTGCTACTATTCCTTCAGTGAGCCACAAGTACAGAGTTTGTTTAGAAACAAGACTGGCTGTACTTAACTATTAAAATGCCATTTATTCAGGTCACTGCAGGAGATGCAATCACAATATATACCTTGATATATAAAGCAGGAGAATGCAAGTGAATATGGAAATGATTACTAGGACAAGCATGAATTTGTCACGTGGTGCGATAGGAAAGTGGCTCCACGCACAGGAATGGGCCCGAATCTGGTTAGGCACGGTGCTGTACCTGTCCTTGAAGAACCGACGGAAGCCAAAGGCGGTGAATTTCAGCACGGCCTCCAGCACAAAGGTGGTGGTGAAGAAGTAATTACAGTACTTGAGGGCCGTCTCCAAAGACTGGCAGAGAAAGAGAAGGAGGGATTCAGACATGGCAATGTTTCTGCGCCATTTTCACAGTGATAACAAGCAAGACGCCGGAGAAAACAGGACAAGACAACAAACACAGTGGATGCAGACGATCGTGCTCTGCGTACACAGATAAACAAGGGTGTATGGTACAGAAGGACCCCCAAATGCCCAGGGTAGAGAAGGTAAAGGGTGGTGGATAAATGTAGCTGGAAACACTCACACGTGGCTGGCTGTAGTGCTCCAGCGACATGGTCACCACGTTGAGGCAGATGATGAAGGTGATGAAGAGGTCCAGGTAGTGGCTGGTGCACAGGGTGTGGATCATCAGCCGCACATGGCTGTAGTTGGAGTAGTAGGGCAGTTTCTGTGCCTCTGTGAGGGGTGTGGGGGGCAGGGAGTGAGGGGAGCCACCCGAGGAGGGGCATGGAGGTGGGGGAGAGAAGGTCAGGCATGGTGAACCATCTCCGGGGAATTACCCGACCTCACTGACCCGAGGCTGTCCGGTGAGTAAAACAGGCCAAATCACATGATGACTAATTACCCCCAGTGGTCAACGTAGAGGACACATATTACTGGGCCTTCCTTCCCAATACCAAGAATGCAAATAATGCAAATAATGCAAATATGTGGTCTTGGCAAGAGCGGTCTTGCTACCTTGGCTCCCAAGAATGAACTTGTGGCACAATAAATCATAAATTGGTCTTGTTTGGCAAAGATGTAACCGATGCATCCTTGATGTTTGGCGCAGGGCAAGAACAACATCCAAGGATTTTTACTGTCCTCTGTACTTCTGTTCTTGGTATTGGAACTGGTCTTCAGCAATGGAAGGTGAAGTAAAATGGGTACGTAAGACCACAAGTACGCATATAGAGAAACACCTCCCATACTTCTTTGTCAGCCTTAAGTACCAATGCCTGTTGTTTAATCCTCTCTGCTGAATCATGTGTTCATTTCCTCTCCAGCCATTTCTGCCTCTCCCCTCCCCCTTGTGCCCATTGGCCCCCTTACTCCGCCTCTTCTTTTCCATGCGCCTCAGCCGCTTCTCCTCCCGCCGCTTGGCCTCCTCCACCTCCTGGTGCTGACGACACTTGTGGAAGTTCTCCACCACCACGCCCACAAACATGTTGAGCACGAAGAAACTGACGATGAGGAGGAACGAGATGAAGTAGAGCAGCATCCAGGGGTTGTGGTTGGTGATGGGCTGGGAGGGGGGGGGGGGGGGGGTTAAATGGAGGAGAGGTACAAAAGAGGATTAGGAGAGGGGGTGAAAGGTGTTGGATTAGCCTTGCTGGTCAAATACTAGACAAGTTAGAGAGATCATCAACACTGAACACAGTCTGTCCTTGAAAGAAGGGATAAGGGCTGCTCATAAGAGGCAGGCGGAGGCTGGAGATCTGAGAAGCATCTAAGAAGTTCTGCACATTCACATGCAACACATGGAGACCTCTACTCCTACTCAACATTACAATGCAATGCCTTAGATTTCACAGCCATCTATTGTGATGTGTATAAGGGACCTGGTTTATTATATTTAAACTTATCCCTTCATTTATAAAGGGGCAATTCTATGATTCTATTTAAGGTGGGGGGCATAAGAAGGACCATAATTCATAAAGTGGAGCCAACCTTATCATTGCCAATGATATGTTTTGAATTAGTGATTGACAGGGGAGGGGGAACTGTGGGGGCCAATCATCTTTCAGCTGGGGCCAGAACCCCCTGAGGACCCACCCCTAATATAAGCCCCAGCATTTTCATTTTCAGGTCCCAACACACTTTTGTGGCTGCTACAAGAACAGACAACAGGACGCTGAACTAGTAGATGCGTTTCACTCCTCGTACACATGTAGGGCTGGAGCTAAACTCCACTCGGGCGGAATCCCTCGCCGCTTCACTCTGCTGCCTTGCGTAATCGCGCTCGACACCACTCCGCCAGGACCTCGTTATCGCATCTCCCCCATTCCCCAGCAGCCGTGTAGCATCTGGTGCGAGCGACTCGCGGCTCTGGGTCGGGTCCAGAATGCTGCGGAGCTGTCTCTTAGAAGCCGTCGAGTCAGGGGTCAAGGCTGGTGGCCGGCCCTTTAAGCACGCATGCTTTTCACTGGAGTTATCGACTCGTTTACGATCAATTGGTGAAGCCAACCAGAGAATTCAATCGCTGTGATTTTTTTCCCTCTTTCTCATTGATCATTAGGTTAATTATCATTAAACGTGGATGGAGGGCCCTAATATTTACTCAGAGTTATTCTGCTCTGTAGAAGAAGAGTATTACGACAAAAAATAATGTTGCATTTTTGCTGAAGCAGAGGAAATCATGCTGGAAATAAGAATTGATACCGTTTTCATTTGCTTATCGTGTGTCCAGAGTGACTTTGAAGTATCACACTTACAACTGGAAGCATCTTAAATAATCACCTTGTGGCTTTCAGCTCCACCTGACGCTCCCCGATCGCGTGGCGTTTGCGTTCCCCGAACCAAGACTCACCTGCTGATCGATGCCCACGGCGTCCAGGCCATGGTACATGATGTTGACCCAGCCGTCCTTCGAAGCCAGCACAAACAGGGACATCAGGGCCTGCGGTACAGATCACACATGCACGCACGCATACAGACACCCACACACACACACACACACAGACGCCAGGTCCATACAGACGAAGGCACGCGAGGAATTTGAGCCGGCACGTAGACACGCAAGCACACACATACACAAACACGCATACAGACGAATGGTCATTCGGCACGCTGGGAATGGATGTAAACAACTGCCTGCATTGAAAGTTGTTCCCCCTAGGGATTTGTGAAGGGAAGACTACATTACCTGCCCAAGGTTGTCAAAATTGTACTTGTGATGGACCCACTTGTAATTGGCTGTGAGGCAGTCGGACTTGTTCGTGACGTTCTTCACGTCTGGGCCCAAGCAGTAGAAGAACTTGCCTTTGAAGAGCTGAAGGCCACATTTGTTAATCATCACGTATGTCAACTGTGTGATCTCGAAATGGCTCGATTTGAGGCATTTTTAATGGAAATTCACAAACAAAATTAATCTTGTTGGGAGAACATTTTAAAATGGATTTGAGGAATCACTTCTTTACACAGCGTGTAGTTAGTGTGTGGAATAGTCTTCCTGTTAGTGTAGCGCAAGCTAAAACCCTGGGTTCCTTTAAATCAGAGCTAGATAAGATTTTAACACATCTGAGCTATTAGTTAAGTTCTCCCCAAATGAGCTTGATGGACTGAATGGCCTCCTCTCGTTTGTAAATTTCTTATGTTCTTATCTGTGTATAATTATGTGTATTATACATTCATTAGTATCCATTATGGTCCAAAGACGCATCATGCAGGGAGAATCACTGAGGAACCTACAGTGAGGAAACAGTTGGTCCTACCTGGACTCCCAAAATGCCAAAGATGATGAAGAACGCGCAGCAGATCAGAACAATGTTTCCGATGGGTTTCAGGGAGGTGATCAGGGTCTCCACCACCAACTTCAATCCAGGAGCACGGCTTATAACCCTGAAAAACAGTCCAAAATGAAGAATCTCTGTTTTCTATTTTAGATCCTTAACATGGGCTTTGGGAAGTTCTTTCCAAGTTTGCTTCTTGAGGTTTGTGAGTTTGTTAGTCTTGTAGTAAAACATAAATAATCGCACAGCAATAAGTTTCATTAAGTTTTCGCTTGCAGTTAGACAGCCGTACCTGAGGGGGCGCAGTGTTCGAAGGAGCCTGAGCACACGTAACACTCCCAGGATTTTGGCCCCGCCGGCCATGGAAACCACAATGTCAGCGAGGGACACAAACACCAGGAACCCATCCAGAATGTTCCAGCTGCTGCGCAGGTAGGCCTTCTCTCCTAGGTACAGGCCCATTGATACCACCTGCAGAAGAGCAGACGACAGGAACCAGCAGCTTCTTGATATTGTGTCTCAGTATCATTGTTTACACTTTCGCTAAATAGTTTCCACAATCCAACCCCCAATCCAGCGCATCAGTGGGAACATGCACGCTTAGGTTCACATCCTGCAAGTCACTGCTCAGGGAAGATGGTTGTTTGATCAGTTTGTGGTATCTTGCAGTGTCATCCTTTATGGTTCATAAGAAACAGATTTGCTGAAGCCTTAGTGGTGAAGTACGAGGGATTTCATGGGTAAAACACCTATTTGGATCTATAACGTGGTACTGCTGAAAGGCATATGACTAATGAAGAGTCATAAAAAGTCTTAGACAGAATTATAACATCATTTTACTGATATTTAATTCTTGGCACTGGGTATTCTTAGTGGAGTATTTTATTCAGGTACCTTATTCAATAAACTGAACTGGTTTCCAGGGAAAAAGCAAACAGTGAGTGATAATTCCAAGCCCTTAAACATTATTTCACCCCCTAGATACAAAATGTGATTCGGTGGTGGTGAGGATGTATATCTGAGAGAGCTTGAGAGAGGATTTGAGAGTGTTTTTTTGATATTCATTGGTTTGCTTCCCTAACCCTAACCCTAACCCTAACCCATTCCACCAGGAACACTGGATGTTCAAAAACGCGGTATATCACCTCTTCACAGACCCAAAATGACTTGTGAAAACCAAGTTCAACTGGGGAATATTTTTCACGGTAGCAAGAGAGAACGATGTGATGCTGTCATGGCTGACCAGCCACTCTTTACGAGCCTCCAGTAAAGGCAATTACGACGCCTCCGAAACCATTGCTTGCTTAATCGTCTAACGACCCAGCGACATGGACGATGGGCTTGTCACGCCGGAGCTTTCCTCAGTGCGAATGACGGGGGGGCAGATTGTCTGAATGCGGAATGCTTGGTTTCATTTATTCAGTCGCTTAATTGTTTGTCTGTGGGGAGATTATGCTAACGGAGCAGATCCAGGAAATTCAATATAGTGGTCCTCTCTGGAGGGCCGGAGGCAATGCTGGGCAAATTGGGAACCAACAAGCAGATATCGCGCCAGGGCCAGGCCTCGGAGGCTGAAACATACTGAAAGGGACGGAGGATGCTGGAGACACACAGCGGCTGTATGTAATGCACATGGGAGACACAACAGATTGAATCTCAGAAATTAATTAATATCACTGTCACTTATGTGCAACACCAGATCGATGGACAAGACATACAATAGGAAATAACTCAGTTATGGGGTTTACCTTGACAGTCATCTCTGCCACAAAAATGGCTGTGAAGATGTAGTTGGAGATGGTGAGGAAGAGTCGTTCCTGCATAGAGAGGAGGAGGAGAACTGGGTGACCTTGCTGGAGAGTCCCCTTGCCAAGTCAACCGCCACTGCAATCAGGGGTCTTACCAGGCTTCCCTGGTGGATCTTGGGCCTCTCCAAAGCCACTGTGATGCAGTTGAGGAAGATGAAGGCCAGCACCACATAATCGAAGAGCTTATGTGCAATGACAGATTGACACGTTAACCTGAACCTGTATAAAACACGGGAAATAGGCAGAACGGGAGTGGGGGGGCAGGGCGCGAAATAACTTAATCACCGTCATAATGAGTTGGTATAATTTGCTTTTTGGAGAAAAACCACACAAATTCACCTGCTGTCTAAATATAACCACAAACCCCAGGAACAGATTCAAATTTACACAAACTCACCCACGCACACAGATGGACATACACACACTCTCACAATATTAACGGATCCATCTCGAGAAACTCAATTATCAGCGTAAGTCTCCCCCGCTCGCATCAAATGCGAGGTCACAGAGTACCAAATGCTGTTAGTCTCACCATTGTCATAAGTGGCAGTCAAAAAGCTTTCGATCGATGCGAGGCTTTTATTCGCCTGCACTGGGGGACGCTTTCGGCTACGGCCGCGCCTCCCTACACACGCGGCTCATCGTCTGTAAGCACTTGTTGATAAACAAAGCATGAGAGTTGTCATGCCACCTCTGGAAGGAGATCAATAGACTAATCAAGCTGTTTCTGTGGGGACGCCGAGAGCCGTCTTCCCACTGATTAGCGTAGCGCCTGTTTGGCTTCGCCCTGCGGGGACGGCTTTGTGCCGTGCATGCCTGCTTCAATCATCGGCCCTCGAAAATCTCCGTCAGGAACCAATCACGGTGGTCGCTTAGCCGTGCGGGATTTTTGCGAGGAGTGTTGATTTTGGGTCAGTTAAGCGGTTCCTAGCAGGGGTTCACTGCGAGGCAGACAATATCATACCCAGGGCTGTTGCTAGAGATTCTGGGCCCCATGAAAGCATATTGTATTGGGTCCCCCAATCTACACCAATCCAGTTATGTTCCAAATTTTAAGATTTAGGGGGCCTTGGAATCGTCCTAACTTCACCCCCCCTTACGGCGCCCCCTGATCAGACCATAAAGATCATGGTCTTGTAAAGGTTTAAGGTATGAATCCCAGTAATAGGAATCGTGCTAAGCATTAGATTGTTAATTATCCATACAAATTTACGGTTAGCTGTGGGAAAAATGCTTCGTCACTTTGCATCGATGTATTAGCTAATTTGGCTCTGAAGAAAGTAGACTTACTTATTCTGTGGGGAGAAGAGGTAGACAGACCAGTCTTCCCGGGTCTCACACCAGTCTGGCCTGTACACCTCTATCATCTTCTGGATCCGAAAGCAGAGACTCTGGGAGGGGGAGGGAGACATTGCAATGTGAGCCAACATGCAGAATCTCCATGGTCGGATATACAGCGGGCCATCAGAGCTGCTAGGTGAATCAGTGCTCTTAGTCAGCGTGTAGATGAGCTGGCACTTGGCAGAAAACAGACGCACACTTGAATCGCACCCCGAAAGCTTCCGCACACGTGTAAAGCACAGCGGGATACTAATGAAGCCAGAGATTGACCCACGCCTGAGGTTAACGTCTGCACGCGTGAGGTGAGCGCGGTAAGAATGATCACGGCGCAATTGAAGGGCTTCCTGCCCCGCGGCCTGCGCTCACGTGTACGTGCCGGTTAATGCGAGCCAGGCGCACGGTGATATTTAGCGTGAACTCTGCCGGTCTCCTGCGTGATGCAGGGCTCAGCACACCGCTTTGCAGCCTCTCAGGCAGTCTCACGAAGTAAATGTCAGACAAAAACCCACCGTGAAACTTACAAGGCATTCCAAGAAAAAAAAAAAAATACATATCAGCCAAGTAAAAAAGAAAAGATAATTGTAGGATACGTATCCTCATCTGCTTCATTTTCCTTTCATGTATCATCAGTCATGTCTGGCTGTCTGTGCTATGACTCAGACAGTTCTTAGCCAAATGACTTACAGTTGGTGTATTCAAAAAATAAAAAGCTAATTTTTTTTTTTTTTTATCACTGCACACTATATTATTTCCCGAGGAAACAATTATACCCCAACCGTCATAGATTCATTGTATTCTCCTGAAAAAGTTCTAAAATTCTTTCTGTAACCAAGCAAGTGAACCCTTTCTAGAATTTACTGAAGAGTAGAATTGAGGCCATGTTTAATTGCAGCCCAAGAGTTTGGTTTTCTGTTTTCGACTGAGGTGGTTTAGTTTACATCGACCGAGGTGGTTTAGTTTACATCGACTGAGGTGGTTTAGTTTATATCTCAGCCTGACACAGCCTGGCACTTTGAGGCTTTCGTTACATGAAGCGGCAACACGGGTCACGGACAGAATGGTGATGATGTAATGCTGAGAGGCGTTTGATATGATGACCAGTTACGGTCTCCTCTGTTCTTACGTAGTCTATTTCATCCTCGAGCTCCTGTCTCTCCTTGCATGTGTTGAGCTGTGGGAAAACCTCCCCGAGCAGTTTGGCCTGGGGGGCCGGCGTCTTCCCGTTGCAGTCGTGGTGGTCCCCAGCCCACCCTGGGCTGCTCAGGCCTCCCGAGAAGCTCTTCTCCCGGGGGAGGGCCAGCGGGGGCCCAGGGACCTGCAGCAGCTCGGGGAGCTCTAGGGACAGAGCCCGTCTGTCCCTGTTTGGGGGGAAGTGGCGGGACAGCAGAGATGGGGGAGGAAGAGGTGGCGAGAGAAGGGACTCGTTTTCGGCCGCGTGCAAGGAGCGAGGGCTGCGGGATCGGAGGCTGCCTCCCCCCATCCCAAGACTCCGGGGGGTCCTGCTCAGGCTGTTCCAGCTGGACCTCCGGCTCCATGCAGACTGAGGGAGAGGGCGCCCCCAGTTGTGGTAGAGGGAACTACGCCCCATGCGCTGCAATGCACAAGAAACTGTGTGTGAGCTCAGAAGCCATTTATGGTTTTCGTTCTCTAAATCCTAATAAACACAGAACTCAAAATGGGAAAGTATCTTAAAGTTACGAGTATAAAAGAATTTGATTTCCATGATGTTTGCAGCTGTGCAAATGGCGCACATTTCAAAGGTACGGACATCAGTTACGTATTATCTTGACCAGATGGCAGTAATTCAATCAGCGAATCAGATCGCATCAATAGCAATGCAGCATTCCAGCTACATTACAGTGCGGGAGAGGTAAGAATCGCACTCAGCTCACAAAGCACACAGACACCTGGCACCTGCCTTCAGCTTTAAAACCCAGCAGGCGAGTTTGGGGGGGGGGGTGCTGTGAAGGGTAGCACGCTCCTCATCGACGCCCGCCCCCTCCACTCACCAGAGACCTGCGATCCTGGCTGGCCTTGCCCAGTGACGTCACGCTGCTCTCCCGTGAACCCCGGGGGAAGGTCAGATGCTCGGGGGGGTACACACCTTTGCCAGCATTCACTGGCACCACCTCCAGGTGCCCGTTAGGAGTGAGGGCACACAGCTTTGGGTCTGGGGGGGAGGAGTAGGTCGCTGTCAGTTCTGAACATGGTCACAGTCATCGAAAAGCACTCCTGTGGTGTATCTCCGCTCCCTGACACTGGTGTTAGATCTGCAACATGTTTCCCGATTAAATAGCGGAACAATTAGATGCGAGTAACAGTTTCTAACCAGGCACAATCTGTGCAAAGAGGAGGCTGATATTTCACACGTATGTAATTAACAACCAGGTGCTATGGATACAAGGGAAACAATCTATTGTATATTTTAAGGAACCACTGCCATTTATTCAAGGACGGTTTCCACATGGTTTCGTTTTGATGTTCCAACCTTTTCGCATGTTTGGTGCAGCTCCTCACACCTTTAGACTGGGCCATCAAAGTGACAGAAAACGAGGCAAGTCGGATCGAAAACTGTTACAAGAGTACAACAGCACTTCCCACCTGGGACCTATTCACTAGTACCAAAGTTTTAGCAGTTACTAAAAATTGCTTAAAGGACAATTCCACTCAAAGAAACCCACAGGGGTCTGTCACTTCGTATTGTTAATAAATATGCATATTTTACAGCAGCAATTCAGGTTAACTATTATGCTCAATGGTCGAGCTCTGGCACCTGAATCTTAAACCAGCGGGGACCCACGGACAGTCCGCGGTTTTGTTCCCTCCCAGCTGCCTGTAGGGAGACGGTCCACGCAAACGGTCCAGGTTTCTGTGGAGATATGTGGACTGTCTGGCAGGGAGCTGAGAGGGAGCAAAAATGTGGACAATCTATTTGGTCCCTGAGGACCAAATAGAGAAAGACTGGCTTAAATCAATGAGCAAAGGGGTTGATAGTTCAGCTCTTACATAATGCTGCTTCTGCCAACTGCAGAAAACTGATAAATAAACACAAACACACAAGCATAACTGCAGATCTGAGCTGAGGCCAGAGATTAATGGCGGAAAATACCCGAGAGCTGGAGAGGATCCTTCTGCTTGTCGGTTTCGTCAAAGTTGCAGGAAGACCTGTCATCATCCGAGTAGGACCGATTGGCATCGCCCTGTCAGTGAGGCAGACGGATGTGAAGATGCAGAGAGACGCGAGGGGAGGAGCTGAGAGATAGTATCTCTGACGGTGACTGAATATCAAAAAGGCATCAAAATTTTGACGTGCCTTTAAAAAACAAAAGCCGTTAGACAAAAGCAGACATCAAAGGCTCTACAGTGCGGGATTCATCGGGGTACCGAACAGGCCCCTGTCCTCACCTCCGCTTGGAAACCCTCCACGAGGATGGCCACTAGCAGGTTGAAGAGCACGTAGTTCCCGAACGTCATTAGCGCCACGAAGTAGAGTGCCGCCCAAGGGGAGGTGGAGGCCATGCCATTGTAGAGGACCATGTTCCAGTCCTCCTGAGTCAGAATCTGGAAGTATTTTTACACCGCGCACATGCATAAGCCTGAACACGGCTGCATCTGAAAAATCCCTGGTAATTTGGTGTAATGCGGTGGAATTCTGCCCCTTTGGACTTGAGGTGCGAGCAGGTTACCTGGAACACCGTCACGATGGCCCACAGCAAGGAGTCGAAGTTCTTCCTGTCAGGGACTGTGTCCCCAGCATCTGTCTTCAGGCTGAATTTACACCCGAATATGTGCATCCCGAGAATACTGCAAGCAGAGTGAAGAGGGCGAAATGTGACTGATGACCGCCGAGGGTTAAAAGCGGCCCTCCTAAGTGGGATTCTGCTTCATAAAGCGGAGCGAAACAAGCGGGTCTGCCAAGAACCAGAACCAGCACCAGCGGCCGACGTCCCCTGTGCCAGCTCATATAAATCAGCATCCAATGACCCGTTTAACACACGGTGTCATGTCGATTTAGGCCGGTGTAAGTCGGGGCACCATTTAAAGTGAACCTCGTGTGAAGGACATGCAGTTATACATTAGCGTGAGGTACCGTGTCAAACAGCTTAGTTTTATATAGGGGCGCAGATGCTCCTCCCCAAGTTATGTGGGGACCTCTGATCCACCCCCACCCCACCTTGGAGGGAGAAGAATCAAAACTATAATAAAGAAATACCATCCCTAAAAAAGGTTTGACGTCTAAACGTCTGACCTCATCAAACTGCGTCGACCGTCACAAACTACTCAGAGCATGTTTGCTGCAGGCAGGAGTCCACACACATGCGTGTGCATCCTCCTTGCCTGTACACACACGTTCCTACTGTCCCCCTGTAGCCGTTTGTAGGTAGACAGAGTAAAATGCACGCATTCCTATTAGCCTACACATGGCTCGAAAGTTTTTCACTTCCACGACGACCTACCATTCTAATGAAGGATAAATAACTCAAACACGGGTGTCACTTTCTAAAAATTTTATTCAGAAACATCTATACTTGCCACAATTGTGACTTTGCCCATTCCGTTTGTATTCCGCCACTGCGGCTTTTGGGTGCTGAAAAGCTTGAGATCTGAGCTGCTTAAATTGTGCTGGATGCAGATTTGGTCACACGGACAAAAGCGGTATGCAATACAGTTAAAGCAATTCGGAAAAAAACAAAGAGCTGTCACAGCGTTCTTTCAAATGGCAAGCAATGTAAGCAGACGAAAATTCTATATAATCTATACCAAGCCTATGTTGGATGCAATTGTCAACATAATTTTCCTATATTTTAATTACTGCAGTAAAGATAACCATTTCATGTAAGTTTGATCTAACATGAAATTACGTCTGATAAAGAAAGCAATAAAACTATGAATGTATCTTCTTGTATTTGTGGGTGACTGGCAACTCTATACCAGACAACAAAATAACAGTCAATTGATGTCAGCCAGTGTCAGACAAACTGTCCACTGTATTAAACCATTAGCCCAAATCATGCCAAACATCATCAAACATGGCTGGATAAACTAAAAAGATGAGATGTTTTGCTTAATGTCTGTTTCCCCCCACTGAGCCCCTTGGTTTATACTGTATACCGATTGCTGTCTATTTGTCCTGGGAGAGGGGTAGGGGCACTGAGGTGCTGGAAGAAAACTACAACAGTCATGCTGTGATGTGTGTGTTTTCAGCACAACATGCTAGGACAGCATGGTCAGGACCAGGGGTGGATTCATGCATAGGCTTTCCTAGGCTGCAGAAAAATGGAACCCCCTGCCCTCGCCAAATTTTACTGCAGGCACCCCGAGTGCTGATTAGTGGATTATTGATGTTGCATCATTTTTAATTCGTACTCGTTTCTGTTTCGGCGCAAAAAATAGTTTAAGTGTCCTGCTTGGGGAGCCTCCTAGCTACGTCAGCCTAGGGCCCCCAGACAAGTTAATCCACCCGTGACTAAGACCCAAAAACCATCATCCAGCAGATTTCACCATCATCCACGATTGGTTTGGGAGTCGTCGTGGATACCAGGGAGGGGTGGGAAAAGTGAGATCTTCACAGACCTGAAGATGAAGATGAAGAGCATGAGGAGCATGCAGAAAGTGGCCACGTTGTCCATGGTCTTCATCAGCACCACGAGCTGACGCCGCAGTGCCGGCATGAAGCGGACCAGCTTGAGCACGCGGAGCAGCCGGAAGGTCCGCAGGACTGAAAGGCCCCCGTCCGACTGCCCGATGATCTCGCACACGCTGGGGGAGGGAAGGAGGGAGAGGCCGACTGACTCCGAGGAACATGCCACACCAGGTGCCCCACAGCTACCCTTTTCCCACCCCTGCTTCTGACCTTTGACCGCTCCGCAAGGTCCCACCTGATGATCACGATGATCCCGTCGAAGATGTTGTAGGCGTTGCGCAGGTAGCTGAAGAGGCCAAAAGCGGTGAGTTTGAGGATCATCTCCAGGGCGAACATGCTGGTGAAGACGATATTGCTGATCTCCAGGATGTTGGTCAGCTCCTCGGGCTGCGCGAGTGGGGGAGGGGGGGGAGACTCAGGGAGGTCAGGGCTGTTTCCTATTAATGCTATGCTGCAGTCTGCATGCACACTGGAGAGACAGCGCAATGAGAAAGACAAACATCTCAGCCTTTCCTTATAAGCATGGGGAGGCAGAATCCCCTTAGTCTGTCTAATGGAAATTATTAAGAAAACAATATAGGTATTCCTAGCACTCAGGTAAACCCTGCCTAGATTAATTTCCATTGTCTTTGGAGAAAGCAACTAATCATCCGCAAAGCTACTAGCTTCAGTTAACAACCAATGGTTAGACACATTAAAATATAAAGATACAGACAGTAAGGAAATCACAATATGGGAATAATACCAGGAACAAGGCAGCAGGTGGTACACTGGTTGTGACCTTTTCGCAATCATCTAAGAGTTCCAGGTTAAGCTCCCTCCGGGCCGGTCTGCCCTTCAGCGTAGTAATTAGCCCGTGTTACCGTATCCATCCCTGCAGGCAGTGCTTAGAAAGATGCTGCTATCTAAACCCATCTAACACGATCCGTCTTCGCGCTCCCCCTATTATTTCTCCTTTGGTCTGAATATAAGATCAGTGCAATATCGCGACGATCCATATCTCCCTCGAAGCGATCGGCATCAGCGAGCTGCCTCTATTTCCCTGAGGGAGAGAACTCGCTTTCACTGCGGTGGAATAGAAGGAGCACCGCTAAAGTCATCATTTCAAAAAGGTCAGAAAAGATTAACACACGTGCATTTAACATGGCTCTCTTTCGTATCCTCATTTTTCATCTTGACAGCATGACCTGTCTTGAAAGCATCACCCCTGCCCTCCAGCCCCACTGCTCCTGTACCTTGCCGATGTTCCTCACTATGCGATTGTTCCAGCATAGGACGCCGTCTCATGTTGATCTAGCGCTAGGGTTCTAGCCCCATAACAGATACTCCTGCTGCTCTACTGCCCTGACCTGGTCAGGCGTTAGCTTCAAATCCCACACTGTGAACATGGCTCCAGTGACAGAGCCCTCATGTTCTGTTAGCAAGGGCTGACGCAAACATGTATCGCAAGAACATGGCCTTGACAAAGATGTTCCAAGTCTGGATGGAGCACAAAAGGTGCACTAGAAAAGGGCATAACTTCTCCAACACGCTTAGCTCTGTGAGGGCTGCAGAAGGACAGTCAAACCCTCTAGAAGCAGCCTTAGTTTGGCGCAAGCAAGAGGGTGATTAATGCCCAGTGCTGCATAACCCACTGGCTTCTGTTCATTCGCTGCTTTTCTATTTAGGCACTTTGGAGATAAGAGAATGATCCTCTGTAGGGACATAAAGGAGTAAGGTGATGGATGGAGAGAGAGAGAGAGAGAGAGAGAGAGAAAGGGAGTGAGGGAAAGAGAGCGAGAATGAGCCAGGGACGGAGGTGAAGGGAAACAAAGAGAGAAAGTGACAGACCCAGTGAGTCAATGGTCACAGAAGAACTGGACTCTACCTGCTCGTGGTGCTCGATGCCCATACTGATGGTGTTGATGAGGATGGCGATCATAATTCCTCGGTTGAAGTACTTGCTCTCCACGATGCCCCAGAGCTTGGCTTTCATCTTCTTCCACAGTTCCTTGCATCGCCCGTGGCACGGCACGGCCCTCTTGCTGGACGCACTCCCCGCTTCCTCCTCTCCGCTCTCCCGCAGCCGCGCGCCCTCCCCTTCGGCTTCCTCCACCGCATCCTCCTCCGCCCCCTCACCGGGCGTAGCGTCCACACCCCGGTCCTCATCCGTGAGCGATGGAGCCGTGGCACACTCCGGGCAGCCTTCGGGGTTGGGAGAGACGGAGAGAGAGAGATGGTGCCACCAAGAGGGTTAGGGTGAGGTTCACTTGGTCATACCAGACACCATGAGAACAAAGAGACTTCATCAAAGCTTGATGAAAGACTGAAAATGGTCACTTGAACAAAATATGTTAGCTCTGGTATGGTCATGCTTCCAAAAAATAACTGTTCCTACCACGGTATCTTCTCTTGTCATCATCTCTGATCCATTTTTATTACACCCCCATCGCCAACACCCTCCCATTTTCCCCCAGATATTATTTGTCTTCAATTCTGTGTCGGATTTAACTGTCCATGATGATACTACGCCTGCCAGGCAGCTGCAGACCGGCCACGTGTGCCCCTCTGGTTCACAGTACTGTCACTCTGTCCTCTCCGAGTACCCCAACATCATCTCTCACGCGTTCCGGAGGACTGCCATACCCCTTACTCACAGCGAGTAACCATGAGGTGCCTGACAGATCAACCAAGTCACTTTACACAAATTTCTGCTATGTTATATCCACACTGAGAATTTCTTCTCTTCCCAGACTTTTTCTGCCAACAGGGATCCCAGTAGCAGTCAATAAAAAACATATATGACGCAACGTGTAAACAGCATCCATCTATAATGTAGCGAGAACTGTAGTATAAATCGACTGACCACTGATTTCTCCCTCTATGACCTGCTGAGACCCACATAGGCCTGTCCAACTCACAATGCTCGTGGTGATGGTGCTGGTGTCCGCCGTTCACGTTGGCCTTCCCTCCAGGACCGCCCACCCGTGCTCTACCACCCCCTGGTGGTGGTGGCCGGCCGCGCAGCGCGTTAAAGAGGGCGGCAGAGCGGCGGCGCGCCTTGCGCAGCACGTGGCACACGTACTGGAAGATCTCCTCGTAGCAGTCGCCCGGCTCAGCCAGGCTGGCCAGTGTGCTGGAGGACAGGCAGCGTGCCCGCTGCTCCTGCATCAGCTGGTGCTCCCGCTGTTTGGTCTCCGAGAACTGGGTGGCGATGACCACGAGGCACAGGTTGATCATGAAAAAGGAGCCCACCTGCGGGGAGGAAGAGGGAGAGGCAGAGGAAGGTGGGAGAAGGGAACTGAGAAAAAGGGAAAATGTGCGGACATTCGCCATCTGCTGCTATTGTGAAGAAGACACTGGCAACTGGAAAACCATGCTACAAAAACCTCAGTAGGAGTGAAAAAAACAAACAAACAAAAAAAAAAACAGTAAGTCAGAGAAGGACAGCTTGTGCTCAGTTTTGATAAAATCAGACAAGGTCAGCCAGGCCGATCTCCCCCACTTCCTGCAACAAGCCAGGAAGGCTGCGTCCCCGTTTCAGAGAGCCACCGGAGAAGTTAAAGGGTCTGCACTTCAGCCGGATCAGAAAAACAGAGCTGCTTAATCTTTAATGCTCTCCTAGCACAACTTGGTCTGACTGCCGTCACGGACCATCATGTCAGGAAGATCAACAAGGGGATGGCTCATCTGTGGTAGATCTAGGTAGGGGGTGAACAGTCGAGCCACTGCTTAGCCACCGTAAATACGGTACAGGGTGTCGGCCGATTAAGGGGTGGCCTATAAAAAAAATGCAAGGGCACATCGCTTCTCAGCCACTAAGACCTACCCTAAACTGTCAAACTAAATCAGTACAGTGAAAATGACAGGAAGCGCCACTTGGAAAGAGAACCAACGGCTTTTAGTGAAGTCAGCCCATCTGTGCCTCTTGGCTAATTTGCCATCACTGGGGGCTTGACGACATTCAGGTTCTCTCCCCCCCGAAAGGTCTGGTTTTTCATTCTACAGCGCGCATCCGCTGATTGAAGAGAGCTGCTAATCAGGCCTGCGGATTGGGGAGGACAAACAGGTCTCCTGAGGAGTTAAAGTGACCGGCATTTTGATGACGGCCGCATCGTCGGGGAAGGGGGCTCGTCATCCACCCACTAAATCAACTGGCCCACTCTCTGCGATACCAAGGTGTGAGCAACTGCTGCCGAATTGCCACTGGAAGCTCCGATGCTTATTAAACATAAAAAGTTATTTTAATTTGTGTGCACCGCTGATGGTCGAGGGTGAAATCAGGATTGCCAACTCTCGCGCATCTGTCGTGACACTCACGCTCACAGACTCACGCAAGAAATCTTGGGGCAAATCCATAATATTCTATTGTAGACCTAAAGTTAGCTACATCAGAAGCATTACAGCAGTTTGCAAATCCTACAGACTATTTACAAGGTAATAAAATTGTTACATACATGTAAATGCGTGTGCAGACTTGTCTCGAATCGAAAATCTCGTGCCAGTCAACTGACCAAAGTTAGCAACCAAGTTAAATATAACGAAGCACTGCTTCTCCCATTATGCTACATTATGACAGCATATAAGACATTGTCTCATTACGACAAAAATGAACCTATGATAACTGGACTTCATTTTTCGAGATTCTCTCGACATGAAGGCCTCACACAGAGAATTTTATGATTCGATATTTAATTTCGCAGTCACTGGAATCTCCTGCTTCATGTCCTGTTCTTCACGGGACTTTGGGTCACAGTGAGCCGGGATGGACTGATTCTGAAAGTCTCCATTGTTCACAACCCTTCAAAGATGTAACATGACACCGTGAGGTCCATGGTGGACATTCGACATGTTCGTCACGCATCTTCCTGCTAGCTTAGCCTGTGGCGGACATCATTTTGTTAGGTATCCTCACACGCTGTCAATGACACACAGGCTGTCACAGTTTTACGTTACGGCTCCATCTTACCGGCTGACTCATTTATTGCTATGAGACAAGGCTGCTTAGAATGGCCCACTAAGGAAAACCCAATTTAAAAGAACAGTTTTTACAATCAGGTCCAGGCAACATGCAGAGCACAAATAAATGCATGTAATACAAACCACGAGTGTGAAGACAAAAGGCAGCTACACTCATCTCTGCCGGTGTGGCACTTAGAGTGATAGCATCTCCACCCAGTGAGAAGGAGAACAGGGCTTGCGGCAAGCAGAACCAAACAGAACCGACATTTATAATCCCCGGGATATGTGTATGAGAGTTCTGACAGGTGTTCAGAGAAAAAGACGGATTGATGCAGAATCAATGCAGTAATGATCAAAAGTGAAATGCATCAGAATATGAGTGGGCGAACCACGTTTCGCACCAGGTTTGCGGGGACAATGGATCAGGGGTCTCAGACTCCAGTCCTGGGGGGCTGGAGCCCTGTGTAGCTTAGTTCTTTCCCACTTCCACCACAAATGATTCAGCTCAAGAGCTGTGTGGTAATTAGCACAAGCAGTTGAATCACGTGTGTTAAATGAGGGTGAACCAAAAACTGTGTAGGGCTCTGGCCCTTGGGGACTGGAGTTTGAGACCCCTGCTCTGGATGAAGAGGTGGGGTAACAGGTCACAACAGGCAGGCTGACCGGTCACAAGGGTGAGCATGGCCAGAAGGAGATAACAGATGCATGACTGATGCCTTCGACTGAGGCGCTCACAGTCGCAACACGGGAGAGGTGCGGAGGGTGAGGTGGGGGGAGGGCGAACTCACAGCAATATTACTGACTGCAATTAGGAAAGCATTAAAAGACAAGAGGATCCCGGGGGCAGCGATATCGGCGGGTCGGCCCGTCACCGGCGGCCAAAGCATGGGGCCTCATTCAGAATGCTGCGCTTGGGCTCTGTTGCCAGGCTACCGGAAGGGTCGTCGGGGTGCGGGGAGAGGAGAGCTTTGACATCTGCTCCTGAGGGGGTGGGGGGGACAAGGGCAATGACACCATTTTTGATTCGTGGAATTAAAAAAAAAAAAACAGCAGACTGCAGGAGCATTAGGTTTAAGGCCCATCAAATTATGAAGGGATGCAGCTAAATTTATCTGAAAGCCACACTGCTAACTGCAGTAATTTGGGGAGTGGGGGGGGGTTGAAGGGGAGGGACTGAATGCGCCATTATTCGACATTCACTGCTTGCAATGCACTACCCATTACAGGGGTGAAAAACTGGTGCTGGAACACGCTAATACTGGTAATGGTATTTGATTACAGGCTTTATGTTAAAATAAGTCAGGCAGGTTCAGGTGTCCAGAGATTTTATTTTTTTAGAGCATGCAGGGATTGCATATAGTACTTCTAACCCCTGAGTTAGATTTAGACTACAATAATAAGACACATTACAAATACGTTAATTTAATTTCATTAAAATCAATCACTTCAGTCAGCTTCAGGAGTTTTTTTTTTTAATTATCCCGTGTAGTGACCCACTGCTTCCATTTAATAACTTGATGAAATGATCACACCTCTGCAGGAAATGCTCTCCCCTCTCTTCATAGCTGGGGGGGGAGGGGGGGGGAGATCGCTATCATGCTAATTCAGTGAACGGCTTTGTGGAGGAATATAATTCTGATGAGAAGTCATAAGTGAGGCTTCATCTGGTTCCCCTCCTGGGGATATTCAGTCAATGAACTCTCAGGTTGTCACTCTATGTATCAAACTGCAAACCGACTGTCCCCTGAGGGGGAGGCTGTCCTGAGTTCTTCCTTAACCATTTTTAATGCACCATTCTTCTTGGTGTCTCCTCACACAGTGACAATCCACTGCCTTCCTCCAGATTGCCAGTGAGCTCAAAGACGCGCTGCTCTATCCCTGCCGTGTTCAAGGTTCACTGACCATTTCTCCAACCCCCATCCCCCATGGCGATCTCCAGCAATTCACTCCCAATCCTCCTTTCCTGTTTCAGCAAGCAGAAGCTTTGTCTGAACTTTCCCTTAGGTCTTTGGTGCAATCCTCTAAACATACATAAAGGCCTCAAGGCCCATCTGGTCTGGAAACACCTCAACCAGCCTACCAGCGACCGACCTGCATATTGTACAGCCAGGGCCAGCGTGCATAATTCCTGGGTCCGGGACAAAATCATTTCAACGGGCCCCCTTGCATGAGGATCACTGTCTCTCTTGCCCCTTCTAGCCTCATCCCCCTGGGCTCGATTATCCCCCCCAGATACCAGGTCTGCGTACACCTCTAGCACCCAAGCTAATTTTAGTTTTTACTGGTCATTTACTGGAAGCTCAGCATAGTTGGCTCCGTGACAGCTGTATGATAGCACATTATTTCCTCGCTTGTACGTCACATTGAACAAAAGCGTCTGCTAAGTAAACACACATAAATTTAACTGCAGCTTGTTAATCCTCACACCCTGGTGAGCAATACTGAGGAGATTCACTCAAATAAGTCCATCTGTTCTCTGTTTTAACATCACCATCTTATCTGTTCTTTTCCACCTTTGTTCACTGTATATACTATTCCTATTTTAATAGTAATCTTTATATTTTATGTTCTGAGCTGTGCTGCAAGAGCGAGAGAGTGGCAAAGCATTTACCCAGCACTCACACAGAACTGACAGCCACGACTGTGACTCAAGTGACTCGTCAGACCAACAGCCATGTCATGACTCTCAGACGTAGCATGTTATTAAACTGACTGCAGCACTCTAATTATGGAGTTCCAGCAAACCAACGATCTGTGACAAACAACAAATTGTCAATTAAATCAGCGAACATTTCAGCAGCACCGAGACCAACATATGAATCGGCTTCAGAGCAGTGACTGAAAGCTACAGCTGAGCTGCTGCGCTGTGACTCTAACAGACCATTTTCCCCAGTCGGCCGCAGTGCAGTGACTCGGATGTCTTTCAGCGGCCAAAGTAAGCTGTGAGGCGGACGAGCCGAGGCTGTCTGTCACTTACGATGATGAGCAAGATGAAGTAAATGAAGTTGTAGAAGGAGTGAGCATCCATCACGTAGTACATGATCTCCACCCAGCCCTCCAGAGTGATCACCTGACACACACACACAGAAACACAGCAGGACAAAATTGAAGGTAAGACCAATCATGAAACAATTTAAAATCCTTATCTTCAAATTATCTTTATTCATTCTTTAAAACCTCTGGGGACCCAGTAACCGACAGGATTAACTGGAAACTCTGAAGCTATACTGTATATATGTCAGGTTAACTTCATTCTGCTTTTCTAGCTTTTTTTTTGTCCTAGGTTATGACGTCACCTGATCACATGACCACCACTGTCAACTACTGTTACTTTGAGTTTGAAGGTACATCATAATATGACCTGGATGAAGACCTAACCTAGAATAGTTACCAAACTTATCAGAATATCACAATCAGTATGTTAACATGCACAGCTAAGCCGACTACTCCATTTAATCGGACTACTGTCCTTGTCCCAGTATACATGCATGGGAGGGGAATCGATTTATTGACCCAAGTATGTCTGACTCCGCTACAGTAGGTGGCGATATGGCTCTTTTCAGCTTGTTAGTATTGGGCTTTTTCTGGTTGAATTATCACGTCAAAGATGTAAAAATTAATAAAATTAACAATGGATGTGTGGACAAATGAAGTGACACAAGCTTTAATTACGATCTGGTTTTAAGAACAGATACAACAAAATCAGGACAGCATGACAAGAAACATTTCACGCTGTATGTCCTCTGCTGTGCTCCAAGCTTCTTCTCTTACTTCCGGGTCAAAGCCCAGGGGGGACACTGTGGAGCATGTGCCGAACGCCTGGGCCAGTTTGGGTCCAACTGAACATATGAAGGAGTAAATCGACTCCCAATCACATTGTCTGGATGTCTTAGTCCGTTTAAGAGAAATCTGATTTAGTACGATTTCAGTCAGACTAACATGTTTACTTATACTTTAAAAGTCCGGCTTTAGTCGGACTAACACAATAATTTGATTTTCTTAGTGTGCATGGAAACATACTGAATATCTCCTGCAGCTAACTCCTTAATGCTGATTTCCATGCATTAATAAAAACATGAAAAATGCTTGACACTAGATTTGCAAATCACTCCAGATCAGTGTCCACTAGGGCAGCGGATAATGACACCCAAGGTCACCTGGAAGATGACGATCCAGGCGTAGCCGATGTTGTCGAAGTTGATGGCTCCCTTGTGCGGGTTGCTGTGGCCAGTCTGGCAGCGGGTGAAGTACTGGTTCCAGTTGACGCAGAGGCCCGCTGCGCTGACGCTGCTGTTGACCAGCGGCTCAGGTCCCAGGCCCAGCGCCTGGCGCTGCAACGCGTCCTCCTTATCCAAGCAGCACTCGCGGCCGCCTTCCCGCCGCGCCGGCACGTCTCGGCACGACATGATGCCGTTGTCGGCCGCCAGCGAGCAGATAAAGGGCCGCTCATCATCCTCCTCTGGCTGATAGTACGGCGTGGGGAGGGTGATGCCGGGGGAGCTGAGAAAGGGAGGAAGAGGGAGTGAGGATGAAGAGGAGATAGGGAGGAAGAGGGAGTGAGGATGAGATAGTGAGGAAGAGGGAATGAGGGTGAGGAGGGGAGGGAGGAAGAGGGAATGAGGGTGAGGAGGAGAGGGAGGAAGAGGGAATGAGGGTGAGGAGGAGATAGGGAGGAAGAGGGAATGAGGATGAGATAGGGAGGAAGAGGGAATGAGGGTGAGGAGGAGAGGGAGGAAGAGGGAGGGAGGGTGAGGAGGGGAAGATAGGTAGAGGACAGAGAGAGGACAGGAAGGAGACAGAATGAGGAAGGGGGAGAGATAGTTATGATTATCCTACTGTTATTCTTAGTACTCTATTATCAGTGCCTGGACGCCTGCATTGTTCGCTCTTTCATGTCTTCATCAGAGCTTTGGCAATTTATGCAGGAACCAGCAGGGCTCAAAGGCGGACAGGTCTTGACCCAGTGTTTCTCCCTGCTCGAATCAGCCTTTCTAGAGAGGCTCTCGCTAATAACGGTATTCCGGTTTTGGGAGACAGAGAGGGAACCTGAAAAGATGCAGCCGCCGTTGCCCGTCTATCATTCCCTTCAGCGTGAAACACATGAAAGGACCTGTCATGGTAACTCAAAGACACAGAGGCCCCGAAAGAAGACCGAATGAAAATCAGAAGGTTTTTCAGGACAACAACAGATTGGCATCTCAGAAGAATGCGGGGACTGTCTCAAAAACAGGAAGATAAACATCCAAACAGCGACCCGCCACCAGGAAGGGTATGCTTCATTCATCCCTCAGCTGGAGTGTACCAAGCTGCTGAAGGATGGGGGGTATGTATGCAGATGAAGATTTAGCACCTGTGTGAATGGGTGGATGGAGAGTCTCAGGGGACCCTGCTCAGTCTGAAACACCTGCCTTGCTGCCATTTTGTCCACTTTGTGGAGCACCGTATGCATCACACCTGCTCTTCTGGGTGGGACCAACACTCCCTACGCACCTGTCATAATTAGGGTATTATCAAAAGGAAGGTGGAGATGTGCATCAAAGGCGCGCTTTGTCGGCAATCTGATGCTCCCGGATCCAATGTGAGTTTAGCTTGGCTCAGCTAATTGCTTGGGAGGCTGGCTGGATACTGCTAATGAATCTTTATTTAAAAATTCAGGTTGCAAAGATGCATGAAACACAAGGAGCAATTAGGAGAGGCACCAGCACGGGCCAGAATGACTCAGAGGAGAGAAGGGGCACGGGGATGCAGGGGAGGGAGAGAGAGAGAGAGAGAGAGAGAGAGGGGAGCCAAAGGGACACGTCACACAGAGGACTGCAGAAGTCAGTCTGCCCATTCAGCTGTGGCATCTGCCTAATTATGTCTGCCGTGACATTTTAACGAGCTATTTTCAGCGTAATGAAAAAGGCATCATCCATAAGCAAAATGAAAATATTTTGTTTAGGATTTAGTGGTGAGACGTCGTCGAGGCAATCAACTTCCTTCACTAACTATCAACTTCCTTCACTAACTATCAACTTCCTTCACTAACTATTAACTTCCTTCGCTAGCTGCCAATGCTCGAGGGGCTGCAGTGCGCTATATAGGATGGGGTGGGAGGGGCGGTTGGGCATTATGCGCACTGGGGGGGAGAGGGGGACAGTACAGGGTTCAGAGCAGTTGGGGTGGGTCCCATGGGGCTCCACTGAAGCTCTATAATGGGCCAGCGACTGGGGGTGTATGATCAATGCATCATGATGAATCATTTATTAAGGTGGCGATTCAATTTGTCGATATGAAAACATCAATTAAAATTACAATTAGAATTTGGTGATCAGTGGTCATTGTTAACACACCACAGCACAGCACACAGTGCGCAACAACGAAATGTGTCCTCTGCGTTTAACCCATATGTGACTTTCGTGACATAGCAGGGGGCAGCTAATTCAGTGCCCGGGGAGCAGTGCTTGGGGGCGGTACCTTGCTCAGGGTACCTCAGTGGTGCCTTGCTGGTCGGGGATTCAATCGATATTTGGGGGTAACATAAAGATACTCCTACTTCTGGGTTGTGTGCTCTCGTGTTCACGTGTTGCAAATGCGTGCACAAAGCAGGAGTGCCAATACATGAATGTCCAAAATGCAGAATGGCAGGGGAAGGTTAATTTATATTCATAAAGCAAGCACTACCTAATAATCTTTGCACTATGATGCTTTTGGGAAACACCTCTCATTTGTAGTGCAAAAAAATAATTTCTGCTAGCTATGGTATCAATGGACAAGACTCTGGGATAGTAAACTGGCTAGCTAAGTCAAAAGTAAAGTTAGCTTTAGAGAGGCACAATATATTGGTTAACATATTTTAACCAAGTGTCAACTGATGTACATAAAGATCTAAATATCAGCACTGATCATCAGAAGAGTCAATCTTGGCCAACATTTGAACTTTATCAATATTCAAAGTTAGCAGCACCAGAGCTAATGTACCACCACAATAATGGAAATGACTGAATCGTGATAGAAATGAAAGATTTCTGATGACTGAATTGTTCCCTCAACAACAATCCCACTACATGGGAGCAAGGAAATGAAGGGTGTCAGGGTCAGCACCTGTCCGGTCCTACCCTGTCTAGCCAGCAGGTGTCGCTGGCCATCCCGTCTTTTCACTCCCCATCTAACCCTTGTGTGTTCCCATGCTGCCTAGAATGCTGCATAGCTCAGGGAGTTGAGCATGTGATACAGAGGCTATAACCCTACATTCATGGGTTCAAAACCAGCCTCACCTGTTTGGTTTAATTTTTTTTTTTTTGTTCTTGCTTGGTTTTGGTTTGCCCTGTGTGTGTCCATTTTTATTTTAGTCTTTGTCTGGTGTACTCAGCCCCCTGTCATGCCTCCCAGTTTCTAGTTTTGGTGTATGCCAAGGCTCCTTAGTTTCATGCTCGTTTAATTGTAATCTGCCCCGCCTGTTCCTTGCTGTCCTGAGTCCTTTTTGATTTGTTAATCTGATTGTGCTTCGCACCTGTTCCTTATTTGCTCCAGTGTTCTTCTGTATTTAAGTGCCTTCCTGTGTTCAGCTCCTTAGTGATCACTGAGTTTGTACTATGTTCCTATATGTCGGTTGGCCTGTTCCCGAGCCTGTTCTTGCTCCCAGTGTTGCCTTGTGGTTTCGTGTAGTTAGTTGTTGTTTCCCGCATCTTCCTTTTTTGACCCCTCATGGTCCCTTTTCTTTTGTAGTCTCACCCAGCGTATTCAGTTTCCTTAATAAACCCTTTTTGTCTTGGAGCTGCCTGTGGAATGTCACCCTCAATTCTACCTGCACCATGCCCTGAGTCTGTGACACTAGGGCAAAGTTTAGTTAATGCATCTGGCGTGACGGCATCAGAAACCCTAACATCAAAAGAATGCTTAAACACATTCCATTATTGCATAAATATTACGATTAGGCTGACGCGAGCCCACAGCTCAAGAGACAAGGCGGGGAGCATAACGGGGCCAGGATGTGCTGCTTCACAGCCTCTTAATGAAGCGTAATTTCACAGCACAGGCTAGGGCCATCGCTTATTCATGTTCCATGACCCACTAAAATGTCACGGTCCCTCCACACCTTAACAACTGAGATTAATTGCTTAGTCTAGAAATGAGAGACAGTCGGCCAGGTCTGTAGCCACACTCAGAGTACTGTTTAAGGCTTCAGTTTGCTGTTCAGCATCCATGCATATGGTACTTACAGCACCTGGTCTAGATCCATGGCTGCAACTGTCACATCACACTTGTTCGACTCCTAAATCTTGTTAGGTTATACATTTGCAGTATGACACAATTTCTGATAGTGGACGAAAAGATTGCAGGAAGGACTTCAAACCTTTTCTAAGAAATGAAAACAGCCTCAGCACTGACACTCTAGCCCACATGCTGGGCCTAAGTCAGCCTCTGTATTACAGAAGTAAGGCAGAATGCTGACCGCCACATTCCCTTGGCCTCCTGGAGCAGAAACCCTGCTCTAGGATATACAACCAGTAGGGGGGATGTTATAAAAGAGTAGAAGCTCGAGCAGGAAGGCCAATGTATGGAAACTCATAAAAAAGCTCAACAGAACACAATCCATTGATCCATGTATCTGGTTCAGGAAAGTGGTGAGCCAGAAGTTTACCCCAGTGGACTGTACTATGAAGCGGGGTTACTGGCTTATCGGGGTAACTTGTCGGATTTAAGGTACCACAGTTTAAATGGACTTCATATTCGCTCACTTACATTTTGCCCAGACAACCATAAATCCGACAAGTTAACCCGATAAGCCAGTAAGCCCGCTTCGTAGTACAGGCCATGGGAAACAGAGTATGAACCTGAGTAAGTATTCATAAGTATTCTCAGCTTTGCGTTTTTATGTTGGGCGCAAACGGGAAAGACATATGAAAGGGTGGCGTGTGGCTCTGTGGGCTAAGCGCCTTTGTCTGTGATCGGAAGTTCACCCGTTTGAGCCCAGCCTCGGCAGAATAGTGAAATGTCTATGAGCCCTTGAGCGAGGCCCTTAACCCCCAGTTCCATAGGCACCACTGCAGGTGGCTGCCCTTTGCTTCTGAGCTTGCCGTGACCTACAAGAGCAAGTCTGGGTAAGAGAATTTCAATAAAAATAAAATATCTATCAAAGAAGTGTCATTAAAGCCAAAACTCCTGATTCCTGATCCACACAAATCCTGACTCTGGTTTGATGGCATGAGCATCACAGTGAAATTAGGACAACAGTCACAGCGAAACCAGCTGAGAGCCAGAGAGGCTGCCGGGAGTGACCAGCGGGTGTGACAACATGCACCTGGGCCCCCAAGGCCAAACAGGATGCTTGGCTTCTGAAAACTCAGTGAGGGGGGGCTGATCTCAGAAAAAGCTCCCGAAAAGTCACAGTAAAATGCTGGTCAGGTTGACCGTGATGCTGGAGCATCTGAGAGCATGGCAACAGAAAAGCCGGACAAAAAGGGGAAAAAATCAGAGACATCATACATTATCTCCCCTTGAGTCAGTTTTAGAAAAAGGAGAAGGCTGACAGAAACTTAAGAACTCGGGGACAATTCAGGCCAAGGTGAACGGCGATGCACTGTAAACTGAATTGCTTTCTCAAGCTGGGGTGTGAAAAAACCGACACCCCCCCACCCCCAGCTCTCCCACCGAGCCTGAAATGGAAAGCTGAAAAACACACGGAGCGTGACACAAAAGCCGGGCTCTGTCTGGGTCACACCGAGAAAGCCCAGTGAAAACCTCGCATACAACAGCCCGCCACCCCTACCAAACCCCCAAGCAACTGCCGTCCCATGGAGGTTTATGAGCTATGCTGCGGGTGCGAGAGCCTTTGAATTCCGCACCGAGCTGAAATCCAAGTGCTGTTCAGAACAAGTTCCCATTCACTTCTCTCTTATTCACAAGTGACTGGTGACCTGAAAAAGATCTGGTGCACTTTTGGCTTAAGGGTTCGCTACCAGCCCTTGGGAGAGGGTTACTGCCTGACATCTTTTAAATACACGTTTATAAAACGAGCTCTGCAGATCTGTCCATGTCACAATGGATCTAAGAACTCCCCTCTCAAAGTTTTTACTAGTTATTTATGCTACAAACTACCGTCAAAGGTGACAACAGTTTAGAACTACTGGTTCAGAACTTCTAAGGCTGACCAACAGAAGCTGCTAACCTAGTGACCCCAAAAAGCGAGTAAGTCAAGAGGTACAAAGCTACTACATGAACCAGGAGGCTTTGGATTATCCTCAACTCTAAGTCAGACACCCAAACTCCAACATCCCAGTTCATATGTAGTTTGTTTGTTTGTTTTCCAATGCAGGGAGAAGTCCGTAAAAAGCAAAAAGAAACAGAGCAGACAAAACTGAAGCCCCACAGTGGATGAAGTGTACTTGTGGATGCTGTCTGTACAACAGTATACCTCTCTATCCTATCCCAGCGTCGACAGCTGATTAGTGATTGGCCAGTCTGTGCAACATTTAATAATTGATTTTTAATAACATGTCACTGGCCATATAAAACCTTCTTGCAGGCTAGAATGTCTTGCTGTACAGTTTCACGTGAATTGTTTCCTTCAGGGAGAGAACAACAGATCAGCTTTTTCGTTACCTGGCCTAGCCCATGTTTGTAATCAGCAAGCTACCCTTAAAAAAAAAATTCACCCATTAAACATTTTGTGAATCCAATACTGAGGCCGATATTTGGACAGAGCATGGTACAGTCACATTCACGCCAGTCGCTGTTAGGTGTTACAGACGACACACCGCACTTGTGAAAGCGTTGCTCAACCTGGAATTACACCAGGTGCTGGCTTCAGATGCTGGACTGTTAATCCGGCAAATCCGTCAGGTCACATGCTTCCCCCCTCCAAACATCAGCAGCCAAGCCCGGGGGTCCAACAAAAAGCACCGATCCTGTGGAAGATGCCCATGGATTTGTCCTGACGTGTGAAGCGATGTGAAAGCATGCGGAGGTCCGTGCCCTCCCACACACACAATTACTGCAGGTCAGACCGCAGGCTTGTTTGGCTGACGGACAGTGATCCGAAACTCGCTGTTCCAAACCACCAATGACGGTCATATTAACATATTCATACACACCTTTGTGTTAGAACCTGAAGGCATGAAAGCAAATCAATTTAACAAGACTTTCTGACTTCTGTTTCACATTCAGCCGCTTAGCCGACGCTCTTGTCAAAAGCAGCAGGCAGTTTTTATGCGTTAATATAACTGGCTGTTTTATTGGAGCAATTCAGGTTAAGCTCAAGGGTACTACAGCGGGACCCATCTGGGATTGGAGCCAGCAATTTCCTATTGCAAGTGTCCTTAACCACTACAGCAATGTTGCCTCATTTTAAATGGGGGTGGGGGGGAGGGCAGAATCGTTAAATCAACATTAATGAGTCATGTCAATTTGTTTTTTGTATCAAATTTCCTCTACTGTTGAGGATCTTAATTGAATGGGGTGTTTCAGCAGTCTCCATGGTGGGGTGGGGGGGGGGATTTATTGGAAAGGGGTAACAGGTTCACACAGGTGAACACATGAAGGCCAATCTCACATGACTCCCACAGGTGACCAGGAGGGCGGCGCTCTGGAACAGCAGCAGGCGTGGGGCATCACCCTAGCACACAGGCTTCCAACTCAGTCACGCAAATGGCATTTTAATTGCCAGTCTGTATGCGAGTGGAGGTCTGGGCCAGTATATTGGACCAAAGTCCCAGGTCTATGCAGGCAAGTATCTTGTTTTCAAATTTATATATATATATATATATATATATATATATATTATTATTATTATTTTTTAATCAGGGTTGTATAAACATGTACGTTAACTGAAAATAAAGTTGGCTCATTCTATAACCACCTTCCCATCCTGTATAAAAACAGCTGCATTCATAAATGTCTAGAAATATCTAGCAGATGAATGTAGTTAGAGTACGACTAAAATTTGTTATACGAGGCTTGTTTGTGGTTTCAGGCAGTCAGGGTCATGTGTTGGATTCCCACGTGTGCTGTGTCTGTGAGATTTACATGTTCCTCCTTTGTTTGCTTGGGTTTCTTTCTGGTACTTTCATTAAATGATGCGTGATTGCTGGTGAGTGTGTGTCCTGTCTGGGACTGGAATCCTACCCAGAGTGTCCCCTGCCCTGTACCTTGTGTGGAATAGCAGTTGTGGTAAATGAATATACTATACCGCAGTTCCCTTGTATCTGTGGGAGATACGTTCCTAGACCTAGTGTGGACAGTGGAAACTGGGGATGACAGCAAACTCATGGGTTTTATACTCCTAAAAGATGAAATAATGAAGAAACACAGGTTCCTGTTACAGGTTTTACAATGAAAAATACCGCATCATGTATCTGTACATAACCTGTAATGAGAAAAATGTACTTGATTAAAAAAATATTAGCCTATTGTGTATTCTTGTATTCATTTGGTGCGCGGTTTGAAACTTAAGAAGCATCAGGAGTCTTTTTTTTTTTGGTAAACCACAGATACAGGGGTCCCACTGTCCTTCGTGTGGCGGGCACATGCTTGTGTGAGCGAGGGTGACACTCACAGCGTGAAGTTCTCCTCGGGGTAGCAGCGGTTGCGCAGGAGCCCCGCCCACAGCTGCACGCCGATGATGCCGAAGATGAAGAAGACGAAGAAGCAGAGCAGCAGCACGTTGCCCAGCATGGGGAGCGTGTCCAGTAGCAGGTTCACCAGGATGCGCATGCCTGAGACACGCACACACACACGCACACACATGGAGAGAACAGGTTACAGTGTGAGAGCAGCGCTTCTGTACATGCTGCATGACCAGCAGCTGCTCTTCGAGAGACATGTGTGTATGCATGTATGTATTCACACACACATACACAGACCTGTACTCATATCTTTGTGGGGACCGAATTCATTTCTATGGGCATAACCCTAATCTCAACAATGACTGCCTTATCCCCTACTCAGCCCTAACCTTATCCATAAATAACCAAACAAAATGCAAGAATTGTTGCATTGTTAGTCTTTTGATTGCAGTCACAGATTTTTGTAAAATTGACTGGAAAGGTTCCAGAATGTCAAAATAACAGGTTTTTATCACACTGAGGGGATATTTGATCCTCACAATGCAATATATACATGTCCCCCCCCACCCCCCCCACAGAACAGGACAGGCCTCATTTTTAGTTCACCATAACAGGGTTTAATCTCTATCAATTAAAGTGACAGATGCAGAGCATCTGGTGCTTTGAGCCGCATGTCTGACACACAGCGCTTACGAGGGGGGAGAATGTGAGCGTGCGATTGGCCGACGTGGCATCATGGTGCATGCTGATTTGTCGAGAGGAACATCCATCTTCCTAAGATGTATGCCACACACACCTACTACCAGGGTGGCTGAATGGGTCGTACGTTGTGAGGTCTAAACTTAGTTTTAGGTCAGTTACCATAAGGCGTCACGTCCCACAATATTTGTTTTTGATCCTGAGCTCATCCTCTGTCAGAAGGTAGCCGGGTGACGAGAACAAGCAAACCATCCATCCATGTTTCCTAGCCGCTTATGCTGAGAGGGCTGTGCTGAGCCTGAAGCCTCTTCCAGGCAGCATCGGCCGTGAGGCAGCAGACAGCCTGGCTGGGCTGCAGTCCATCAAGTCTCATACGCTCAAGGAACCCTGCCCCCCCTCCCGAGCCAGCATAGGGACTCAAACCCATATTTACATGAGACTCCTATTAAACCACCCACTGCAGTGCCAACTGACCTAAAATAACCTAGTCAAGTTTAAATAAGAAAAAGAAAAAAACGAAATGATCCAAATTACAAAACAAAAGGTTATTATAGGGATGGGGGGGGTGTGGCTCAGAGGGTTAGGACTTTTCCACGATCAGAAGGTCAGCAGTTCGAATCCTGGTTGATGCCACTGTTGGGCCCCTAAGAGAGGCCCCTAACCCCCTGCTCCGGGGGGGGCTGCACACTGACTGACCCTGCGCTATGACCCCCAAGCTTACTCTTAATGGTATATGTGTCTGTGTGTCTCATTGAGAACAAGATGGGGTAGGCAAAAACAGAAGTTCCCCACAGGGATCAATAAAGTCTCACTACTCTATTCTATTCCTTCATTTATCTCTACCTATGAGCAAACCAACTCCTAGTTTTTTACTGCTCTAAATATATGTAATACATGCTTTGGGCATCAAAATTAAAATTCAAAAAGACAAATAACGGATATAGTAGCTCATTTAAAAAGGAAACGGTTACATTAAATAGTATTACATCACATACACTACTACTTATTAACTTTTGCAATATTAACAAGGCCGAAAATGTCTCCTACTCTGATGACACTTGTCATGTTCTCTAAATGACTAATGCACATTTTCCTCCTTCGAACGTGTCTCGTATGATGTTTAATGAGGCGTCAAACCTCCCACCATTAACCCCCGACTGTTCCAGCCATCGTTGCCAAAACCCTGATATGGCAGCTGGCACGTGAGGCTATACATACTCATGCATGCAGATGTTATTTTACAATAAAGAATCGCCACAGCACCAGAGCAGAGCGGCCGGACCTCGCGACATAGGCTTTGCACAAGGCGGGAGCGTTAGCTGACAGTAATTGTGTTACGGCAGCAGCGGTAATAATCAGCTACCATGGCAGCTAGTGAAAGGATCTCTAATGAACTCCGTGGAGCTGTGAGAGGCATTTATTGTTGCAGATTGGACACAGAGGGCTGTTAGCGCTCATATGAATCTGAGAAGCTTGAGGAGAACGCTGTTTCAAATGGCAGTTACTCGGAGAATGAGGGGCTTTAAAGAGGCCAGGAGCTATAGCTCCTATTTGGGGTGGAAACAAGACCAATGGAGGCGACTTAAAGTACAGGAGAGGTAAATACTGGCTTTTTATGCAGATCTGATCAGCCATGGTTTTCTTATATAGCCAGGGGAGGAGAAGCAGCTCTTTGGAGGAAGCATCTCCTTCACAATCGGGGCAAAATCACTCTCTGCAGACAGCGCCACACCCTGGGGAATAGCAGTAGTGCAAGCATCGTAGAAGTTCCTTCATACTCTAAAGGAATCAAAATCAACAGAAATCTCGCCCCTAGCACTGGGGAACACAGTTGAGTGCACAAACGTTGTGAAGGACATTTAAATGCCAATACACTGCAATTTATAAGCTGATAAAACCTTTAATAGCCACCCTGTAGGGTCCAAGCTAGAGTGGTCCAGACATCTCAGAGGGTCTACAGATCTGTTTAAATGGAAGCGGAATTAAAATGGCTCTGGGTCTCAGGCCGCCAGGCATCCAACCCTTACAGCTTTCTTGGTCTCCGTTAATATCTGTAATCACTACAATGCAAACAGCCTTTATGTCAGTTTGGGGGGGTTTCTACCTTCCCCCAACCTGTTACTATTCAGCCGGGCGGGTTCATATGAAGGGAAAGAACTTATTTTCTTAAAATGTTGTTATCGTGGCAATACCAAAAGTCCCACAGAATCACTGGATCCCCCGTGAATTTCAGTTACACTTTTTACAGGTGACACTAGCATTTAAATAACAGATGGCGTTGCTGATAATTCTCTCAGGAGAGAATAAAACAGTGCTCATTCTCCCTCCACTACTGCCCCTCCTTTCCAGGAAACAGCTGCATCTTAATAGAGGTCTATAAAACCTCACCTAGATCAGTCCATCACTCGCTGTCTGGTGGAGTGTCACCCAAACTGCAGGGGACCCGCGCTGGTCCATGAATCTCCCTCTGACGGACGTGCGACCCCCTGTGTCGGCGAGCCCTTATGTCGGCGAGCCCTTATGTCGGCGAGACCCTATGTCGGCGAGCCCCTATGTCGGCGAGGCCTTACTGTATGTCGGCGAGCCCCTATGTCGGCTAGCACCTATGTCGCCGAACACTTATGTCGGCGAGCCCCTATGTCGGCGAGCCCCTGTGTCGCCGAACACTTATGTCGGCGAGCCCCTATGTCGGCGAGCCCCTATGTCGGCGAGCCCTTATGTCGGCGAGCCCCTATGTCGGCGAACACTTATGTCGGCGAGCCCC